AAAGGAGATCTCTGTGAGAAGTCCAGCCAGCACAATGTGAATAGCTGTGGTGTACTAAGATCAAAGCAAAAGCTTGAAGCAACACTCCAAATCTGGGCCATACTACTCACTCCAATACATTGTACAGAATAGCATACTACATGGAAAGCTGTTACTTTCTCCATGGGTTCTAAATGAGAAGTGTCTGGTGCAGATGGGTGGGATGGGGCAGAATAGCAACAGAACCACAGTCTACAGGGCAAGTTAGGGATTTTGTCTTTATATTGTAAGAAGCCATTGAAATTTGGAATAATTATGACAAAAGGCTGGAAACTGAATAAATTTGTACCAGAGTGGGTTTCTAGCTTCACCAGCACCACCACGACTACTACCAATGTGATGGAGGCTTTGGAGCCAGAAACAGCACAGAAACTTACTAGAGATTGGAAAACTGATAAATCAAATAACGAAGTGGCAAATAAAGCATGTGAAGCAACAGAAGTTTAGTCCAGCCGCTAGATAATTCACATTCCACATCGGAGTACACAGGTACATTTCCTGGCTCCAGCCCCTGGCTCCAGCCCCTGACTCCAGCTATTTTTTTTTGACAGGCAGAGTGGACAGTGAGAGAGAGAGACAGAGAGAAAGGTCCTCCTTTTTGCCATTGGTTCACTCTCCAGTGGCCACCGCGGACAGCGCGCTGCAGCCGGCTCACCGCACTGATCCGAAGGCAGGACCCAGGTGCTTCTTCTGGTCTCCCATCGGGTGCAGGGCCCAAGCATTTGGCCATCCTCCACTACACTCCCTGGCCACAGCTGAGAGCTGGCCTGGAAGAGGGGCAACTGGGACAGAATCCGGTGCCCCGACTGGGACTAGAACCCGGTGTGCCGGCACCGCTGGCGGACGATTAGCCTATTGAGCCATGGCACCGGCCCTCCAGCTTACTATTAAAAAGGACCTGGGAGGAAGCAGTGATGGCTCAAGGAATCTGATTCCTTCCACCCACATCAGAGACCTCGACTGAGTTCTTTTCTGCCGGCTTCAAATCTGGTGCAGTCTCCATTATGCGTATTTGACAAATAAATCAGCAGGTGAGAACTGTGCGTGTGTTGGGGGGGGGGATGTCTATACACCCTGTAAGCATGTGCCACTAAAACATAAAACTTTTGGAAAAATTCATGTAAAAACTAAGATGCTTCATGAAAAGACTGCAAAATAAAAGCTGTGCTTTGTATTAACAGGATCTGATAAAATATTGTTAGGAGAAAAATACAATGAGAAACAGGGGACTATTTCCAAGAAAGAATAAAAATGAAAGGAGAGAAGCCTGGAAATCCTGTATTGGCAAAAGGGAAACTTGTAGCAATGCCCGTCTCTCACAGGTAGAGAAGTGTTTCAAAGTCCAGTTCACACAGTGACCCAAGGTAAAGACCAACTCACAGGTGTGGCTGTCACACTGTTTAAGACCTATGAAATAAGACTGCACCCAATGAACCCTTTCAGTGGAAAAAAGGACTTGGAGAAGGACATCTACATGCAAACACACACACGCACACATGCACACACACACACACTGGAAGAGACTATGAATGCAGTTCCACAGAAGGCCAGGAAGCTCAAAGCAGTTGAGTTAAAATCTAGAGCAAAGGGCAAGGTTCAAAGACGTGAGGTTGTAGCTATCAGCAAATGGATAGAACTGAAATAAAATGCATTTCAAACCAAAACCACCCCAGCCTGAGCTAAGGAACTGTCCCTCCTCAGAGCGGAATCTTCCAGAGACAGAAAACAGGCAGAGTTGCTCAGCCCTACTCTGCTAGCAGAGAAGAAGGGCACATCCTCCAGGACTCTTTCAAATGTGGATGCCAGCAATGCATTAAAGGAAACAACTAACAGAGTAACTAACAAAGAGAGAGATCCTCCATCCCTGGTTCACTCCCCAAATGGCCACAATGGCCCAGGCTGGGCTGATCCAAAGCCAGGAGTTTCTTCCAGGTCTCCCACATGCGTTCATAGGCCCAAGCACCCAGGCCACCCTCCACTGTGTTCCTAGGTCATCGGCAAGGAGCTAGATGAGAAGAGCAGCAGCTGATACTGAATGACCACCAGTGCCCATATGGGATGCCGGCATCACTGGAGGAGGCTTAACCTACTACACTACAGGGGCAGCTCATATTTTATTTAAATATTACAATTGTATGCATGTCATTTTGTACTTTTCCAGTATTTCATGTATTTCAAAGACATACTCCTACGCTATCAAGTAATTTATGAGTAACTTGCAGCATTGTGAGGATCATTACTATCATGCTCAAAGAGGTCTAGGGTGTGGAGGAAGAGGAGGCTATGGATATCACCCAGATTACTATGAAGATTATTATGATTACTATGGCTATGATTACCAAACTATCATGGTGTCAGCCCACACATTATCTCCAGCAAGGACACCAGAGCATGTGCTGACAAACTGTCTATGCCCTGAGTGACAGGCCAATGAGACAAAAACAAACTATACATGCTGTATTGCCAATAGATTTGGAAAACTGGGGGGATATAAACAAACTATAATGAAGAGAAACAAGTATTTTTTTAAAAAGCATATGGCATATGGCAGGGCTGGCCCTGTGGCGTAGTGCGTAAAGCTGCCATCTGTAGTACTGGCATCCCATATGGACACCTGTTGAAGCCCAGGCTGCTCCACTTCCAATCCAGCTCTCTGCTATGGCCTGGGAAAGCAGTAGAAAATGGCTGAAGTCCTTGGACCCCTGCACCTGTGTGGGAGACCTGGAGGAAGCTCCTGTCTCCTGGTTCTAGATTGGTGCAACTCCAGCTGATGCTGCCAATTGGGGGTGAACCAGTGGATGGAAGATCTCTCTCTCTCTCTCTGCCTCTCTTTCTCTCTGTGTGTAACTCTGACTTTGAAAAAAATAAATAAATTTATATTTTTAAAAAATCATATGGCACAGTTACTTTGAAGTATCAATTACTTTCACATGAATTTACATAATATAAAACCACATTTAATCTAAATATTATCATGTCCATAGGTGAAATAATTCCTTACCTGTGCAGCACTAAGAAGGTGTGCTAATAAACTACAATTACTTCATGGTGCTGTCTCAGCATCCTAGAAATGTGGACAGATTAGAAAATCAGCATTCGTGTGTCCAAACAGAGGCCTCTCTCCATACCTGGAACTCTATGCTGACAGAAATAGGACACTCTCACCCTTACAGGGCTGTCTTACTTGAGACACAAACTTCATCTTTATCTTCCAGAAAACTGAGGTATGAATACTGACAATATATACAATATAATTCTATTTATTTAATGAAACTCATCTCAGTATACCGCTTACAAAAGAAATACCAAGTTAAGAATTAATTTCACATAAATTCTAAAGTTTAAGAACAAACTTAGTTTCCTGTTATAAAAAAATTTTACCATTCATTTGAGAGGCAGAGAAAGAGACACAGAGACAACCCCCATCCACTAGCTCACTCCACAAATGCCCAAAACTCATTCTGCTGGCCTGGACCCAAGTCTTTAAGCCAACACCTGCAGCCTCCCCAGAGTGTGTGTTAGCAGAAAGCTGGAATTGAGAGCACAGCCAGCAGTCAAACACCAGTGCTACCATGTGGAACGTGCGCATCTTAACCATGAGGGCAAAAGGCCCACTTCAGTCTTCTTAAGTAATGCAGTCCTGTGTCCCTTAACAAGAGGGAACATTCTCAGAAATGGGTCACTAGGCAGTTTTGTCACCCTGTGAGCATCACAGAGTGATTCACACACACAGATGGATATGAGGTCCCTGGGCAACACCACCACATGAGTGATCATTTACATGGGACTTGCACGATCCTGGCTAATTCCCCTTTACTTTTCTGAGGCTCTGTGTCCTTACTGGTGAAAGCTGAAAAATCCTTCAGCATTAAGAAAATCAAACCCAGTGACATATGTATGCCTAGCACCTAGCATGTGTTCAATAAATGGAACTAGAAGGCAATGTCAATAATTAGCAATTAAAATTATATACTTCTATACTCAGAACCAACTTCCCAACAAGCATTTAAACACTAGATAACACGGCATGATGTGCCAGAGTGAGGACCTGACCTCTCTGAGGAGGCTGGGGCTGGGCTGTTTCACTCAACAACCTACCTGGCAGGTAGAAGCTTTAATAACTGCTTGTCAGATTCATAAAACAATAACCTTCACACCTCATCTTCCTACTACAAAGCTACTGCAAATACTAGATTCAAAATACCACTGAGTACCTGTTCTGTAAATTATATGCAAGATAAGAAGGAGAAGCAACACACCCTGCTCTAAAAGATCAACCGAACAATTCAAAAGTGTAATGCCTGTTGCAAATGGATGGCAAAGAAAAAAAAGAAAGAAAAGAGAAAGAAACTCAAGTGCTTTGGAAGAAGAACCGTGTGTGCACTTAGGCTATGTTGCTCAGTGACAGCAACAGGTGACAGGATAAGACATTACAGAATGTAGGAATCAACTCAGTGAGAAGGGCAGGACATGATGGGTGAGGAGATAAGTCCACAGAACTATATGGCGACACAATGATAATGAGTTGGAGGCTCGGTCTGTGGGAACAAGTAAGAGCCAAGGTCAAGTCTAGGATGCTCTCCAGGGTCATGGTTTCCTTGCAAACCAGAAACATCTTTCTGGTCCTCCCCTGCATCCCCAATCCTTACATGTCATAAACCACTGGATCACCTATGAGACAAGTGAACCTGAGTCTTATCTTCCTACAACTCTCGACTGCACCAAATGCAGCAAAAGACAGAAAAGTGCTTTTGATTTTGTGTTATCCCACTTTTATAACATTCAGAATTTCTTGCACAGCAGCAGTTTAACTACACAGGTGGTAGTGAGTGGTGCCTTTGTTAAAACTGTTATGAGCCTGTCTGTGGGATCCCCTTAAATAACCCATTCTCCTTCTACAATGGGAGGCATGTTCTGGGGCTTCTAACCAGAGCCATGCAGGCTGTTTGGCACCTACTTACCATCTTTGGCTTCAAGTGTTTTAGCAGATTCTTGAATTCTTCTCTGCAGCTGTTGTTCCTTCTGATCCTTGATCTCCTGCTCCAGGTTGAAATGTAGAAATTCCTTCTCTTCTTTTGTGGGCAGCTCTTTCTTTTTGGCATGCAAAACCTCCTCACAGACTTCCTCATACTTTCTATTCAGATTGGCCAGTCTTTCATTTAAGTAGCAATCTGTGCCTCCAAATCACTTTTCATTGCCTTGTGTTTAGACAAATCAACTACCTCTCTAGTTTCCAACTGTTTTAATGCCTGCTGAGTCCTCTGAACCTCGGACTGGAGTTTGGAGATGTCTTCAGTTCTACGTTGGCTCTCCTCTTCCTTTTCTCTCAGATGAGCCCAGATGAGTCCAACCTCCTTCTCCAAAGTTCCCTTCACCTGCAAGTGCTCGGCCAGGGCCACAGAAGAGTTCTTCTGATTCTCCCTTCACCTGGTCAGAATATTTTGAAAGTTCTGTTCATTGAAGTCTACTTCTGGCAGAACAAAGAAGGAAAACAGCTGTTACCTCAGGGCTCTATTTTCTTTCTTTGCCCATTCAAACCATCTACACATAACACACTGAATATCAACTGTAGCAAAACACATTTACTTACTCCGTCTTTGTCTTTTGGCATATAATGTGCTCAGAATACCTGAAAGCCAACAGAACTCTTAAATAAAAACCAGGACTTCAATTTTAAATGTACAATAATTTCATAGAATTACATATTATTTACATATTATTTAACTAGTAATAAGAGATATGAATTCTTAATTCTCTCACTGTAAATTCTATTATGTTCTTTCAGTTATAGAAATAGCAACCAAATGAACCGAGCTGGTAGGATACTTCAAGAAAACATGGGGCAACTCAGAAAAAGAGAGAAGTTCCCTCTCTCAATCAGGATAGACTAGTATTTAGTACACATCTGAGTACACCACGTGATTGATGTCTTGTCCGCTCTACTAAAGAGTGACCAAAAAATGGATTATAACTAAACATCTTGTTAAAAGAGTTCAACTACTAGAATGTGCAATCAGAAAAGATTAGATTTCCCTTTTTTTGTTCTCCCCATATGACCTTTACAGGTACTGACTCTGATGCAGGTTATCTGCTATGAATACATCTTATTAATAGGCAGACCTTAGGGTTATTGACTTTAATCTGAACTAACTTCGTTCAGATCAAGAAAATGGACATCATGAAATAATTTCCCAGACATGGTTTGTTTCTACACTATCTATGAACTTATCAATCACCATTAGGCTAGACTACTATAATTTACCAAGAAATAGCTAACACGGCTTCATGACTTCTATATCTGTTTTTTTTTTTTTTTTTGAGAGGCAGAGTGGACAGTGAGAGAGAGAGACAGAGAGAAAGGTCCTCCCTTTGCTGCTGGTTCACCCTCCAATGGCCACCGTGGCTGGCACGCTGCGGCCGGTACTTCGCACTGATCTGATGGCAGGAGCCAGGTGCCTATCCCAGTCTCCCATGGTGTACAGGTCCCAAGGACCTGGGCCATCCTCCACTGCACTCCAGGGCCACAGCAGAGAGCTGGCCTGGAAGAGGGGCAACCGGGACAGAATCCAGTGCCCCTACCGGGACTAGAACCCAGTGTGCTGTTGCCGCAAGGCGGAGGATTAGCGTATTGAGCCGCAGCACCGGCCTCCATATCTGTTTTAATACAATCAAATATCTCTCTAATTACACACTGGTCAGAGAATAACCAGTCTCTCAATTCACAATTTTCCATCTTAAAGAGATTTTAGGCATCATACTGGCTAAGTCACCCTACATACAAACGAAGGTATGATTGAAAATAAAGCCAAAATAATTATCTTTTATACAAACTATTGGAAGGCACAAAAATGCTAACCTTGAATCTAATGGAAAGCAAAAAGAAGCAGATAAAAAGGGAAGAGAATTAAGTCACACTCTCTGGAAAGCTTTCTTAATTTTCACATGAATTTCCAAAACACTGAAAAAGCCAAAACATTTTTTTTATTATTTGTACTTGGCTCCCTATTTATTTGGACATATATGAAGCATTAATGGGTCACTGTTCAGGAACAGAGGAAAATACACTGTGAAGCAAAAACCATTTTTTAAAATTATTTATCCCTGGCTTCCCTTTTATATGGGCAAATATGAAGCAATAATAGATCACTGCTGGGGAATGGAGGCTTACTATCAAAGACAACAACATTGCAATTCTGTTCACTTACTTAAAATCACTATAATCATGAACACCCTGGAGGGCACCAGAAACAGCACCGCTTTTCTTCAAAACAAGAAGGTAAGACCCACTTTGATAATGCAATCTTACTCACATACTTAATTCTAGATTCAATGCTGCTGCTTCTTTTTATAAAGAAACAAGTATTTTCTTTCAATTTTTTTAAATTACAAATTTACCAATATTACCAGTAATTCAGTCATATTCACTTTAACTTGTTTGAGAATCAGGAAGAGGGAGAGGGAGAGGGAGAGGGAAGGGGGAAGGGGAGGGGAGAGGGGGAGGGGGAGAGGGGGAGAGAGAGAGAGAGTCTATCTTCCATCTGCTGTTGAGAGAGAGAGAGTGTGTGTGTGTGTCTATCTTCCATCTTCTTGTTCACTCCCAAAAATGACCTCCACAGCTGGGGTAGGCCAGGCCAAACCCAGGAGCTTCCTCTGGGTCTCCCACGTAGGTACAGGGACCAAAGCATTAGGGCCATCTTCTGCTGATTTCCTAGGCGTACTAGCAGGGAGCTGGATTGGAAGTGGAGCAGCTGGGACTCCATACTATCTCCATTGCCTTGTAGGGTCTGCAGTGGCAGGAAGCTGCAGTGAGGAGCCAGAGCCAGGCATTGAACCCAGACACTATGATATGAGACTCAAGTGTCATAATTGGCATCTTAATCACCAAGACAAATGGAAGACATTACTAATGCTTATTAATCTAACAAATACGTGGCTTCAGACAATGAAACACTGACACTTAAGGTCTAATGAGTAAACTTAAGGAGTGGACCATAAGAGATCAAGAACCACAGGCACCTCTCTGTGAGCACCATTTATGGGCTGACAGACTTTTTCTATAAAAGACTAACCAGTAAGCATTGTAGGTTTTGCAGACCATGTGGTCTTTAAAAACACTCCACTCTGCCACTATATAGTGAAAACTGCCATAGACCCTATGTAATGAATAAACATCATTTTGTCCCATTAGCTTTTTTTTTTTTACAAAAATAGGCATTAGTCCATAGTTTGCCAACCAGTTTAGGGGTTTAATTATCTTCAGCCAAAATTACCTAGTTCAATAACTTTGATCAAGATCATTTATGTGTTGACTTACCCTAAGTTCTCCTAGGCAGTATTTTATACTCATATTCCACTATCCTTACAAAAGTATAAAGTATGGGGGCTAATTAAATTTTGTCAACTTGGCTTCCCAGTGGTGCCCCGATGTTGATTAAACATGATCCTTGATGCTATCAGGAATGTATTTTATAGCTGTGATGAGCATCTAATCAGTTGACCTGAGGTAACAGAAATACACTCTGCAAGGTAGTAGGGCACATTCCATTACTGGAAGCTCTAAGAATAAAAACCAAGGAATCTCAAATTAGAAGGGATTGTGCAACAAGATTGTACCATAGAAATCCTGCCTGAGTACCCAGGCAGCTCTACAAATCATGTTTGTATCTTCATCCATAATTACATTTATCCTATGAGTTCTATTTTTCTGGGATCTGATAGATATAGTAAATTAAGACAGCATGCCTTGGGGCAGGTGCTGTGGTGTAGGACGTAAAGCTGCAGTGCTGGCACCCCATATGAGTGCCAGTTCAAGTCCCAGCTGCTCCGCTTTTGATTGAGCTCTCTGCCATGGCCTGGGAAAGCAGTAGAAGAGGGCCCAAGTCGTTAGGCACCTGCATGGGAGACCAGAAGAAGCTCCTGGCTCCAGGCTTCAGATCCACCCAGCTCCAGCCATTGGAGTTGGTGGAAGATTTCTCTCTCTTTCTCTCTCTTTCTCTCTCTCTCTCTCTCTCCCCCCCGGGGTGTGTGTGTGTGTGTGTGTGTGTGTATGTGTGTGTAACTCTGCCTTTCAAATAAATAAATAAATAAATTTTTTTAAAAAACAAAGGGCCTGGCACTGTGACACAGCGGGTTAATGCCCTGGCCTGAAGCACCGGCATGCCATATGGGTGCTGGTTTGAGACCCAGCAGCTCCACTTCTGATCCAGCTCTCTGCTATGGCCTGGAAAAGCAGTAGAAGATGCCCCAAGTCCATAGGGCCCTGTACCCACATGGGAGACCCGGAAGAAGCTCCTGGCTCCTGGGTGCTGGTTCGAGACCCAGCTGCTCCACTTCTGATCCAGCAATCTGCTATGGCCTGGGGAAGCATAGAAGATGGCCCAAGTTCCTGGGACCCTGCACCCATGTGAGAGACCTGGAAGAAGCTCTTGGCTCCTTGCCTCAGATTGGTTGCAGCCAACTGGTGAGTGAAATATCAGGTGGAAGACCTCTCCCTCCCTTCCTCTGTCTCTCTCTCGCTCTCTCTCTGCCCCTCCTCTCTCTGTGTAACTCTGACTTTCAAATAAATAAATAAATCTTTAAAAAAAAACAGGAAGCTGCTGGCTCCTGGCTTTGGATCAGCACAGCTCCGGCCATTGTGGAAGATGGCAGAACAGTGAGGGCGTGCACCGATAGTCCGGGAAAAGATAGTTTAATAAAAGTGGAGTTACAGTAGCCTCAGGAAAAGGATCAGGAAAAAATTGCAGAGGAAACTCTTCCAGATCTAGTGGATGTGACACGGAGGACCTACGGGGAGAGCAAGGTCGCCGACCATGTGGAAGCCGAGCCGCTGGAGCTGCGGGAGCTGCGGGAGCCGAGCCGCAGTCTACGTGCTAGCGCTGGAAGGGGAGGTGGGACCAAAACCTCTCGGTAACCCAAGACATTGGCGGGGAAAGGCAGAAAAAGCCTGCAGAGAACAAGGCCTGAAGCACCACTGGGGAAAGTTCACCAGGCTGACTGGAGGAGAGAAAAAATCGATTAAATAAGGGGAACCGGCATGGACATTAGCCTCTCTCTCCACTCACCTTACAAAGCCGAACAAGACAAAGGGCAGGCGCCATTTTACATATGTAAAACGGCGTGCACCATTTTGCTTATGCAAAGTGGGTGCCCCTCATTAACCAAGCAGAAAAACCTGACTCTGGTGGGGAGAAATAACAGGAGGTTAACACCTGATGAAAGTGTGGGGCTAACCAACTGAGACTGTAAAAAACTGGGGGGGGGGGGGTGAGAGAACTCACCGAGTACACAAACTCGGTAACCCAGGCAACCTGGTGTGAGACTGGGGAGAAAATTGAGACCACACTGAGGGCTGCATAAACTCTTTGTGTGGTCCCAGCGGTAAGCAGACGAATACACATAAGGCCAGATTTCATACATCAACTACCTTCAATTCCACTCAGCTGTGTAGAATTACTTCCCAACTGAGTCAAAAGAAAAAGAAAAAGAAAGAGAGAGAGAGAGAACAATCTGGGTGAATCAACTTTGGCACACCCTTAACCCTGAAGAACGAAACAGAGCTCTCTGGCCACACCCATCACAGCCTCTAAGGATCCATCAAAAGCAGACAGTCCACTTAATCTAGAGTCACAGTATAACGAGAAAAAACACCACACCGAAGAAACCAAAAAATATCTCCAATATGCCAAACAACAAATGCAAAAACCGAGGTAACAAGACCAAGGAAGACACTATGACGCCCCAAATGAAATAGACATCCCAATTCAAGATTATGAAGATGATGAGATAGAAGAAATGCAAGAAGCAGATCTCAAAAAATTGATAAGAACATTAA